TTACACGCGCGTACCTTATAAATTGAAACAAAAGAAAATAATAATAATAAAATAAATTTTAATATTAATAATAATAATAATAATAATAATAAAATAGAAAGTATGCCCGAGATTAGAGCCAACCAGAGACGAAGGATAATAATGATGATAATAAGGATAATGATAATGATAAGTTTATCATTCTATTAATCCACTCCTGTCATTCTTGTCAGCAAGAAAGAAAACTCCAGGAGTCTTTACGAGATATTTAAAATTCATTAATAATACGATTTTATTGGAATAATAATAATAATAATAATCTGTTTTCTTTTTTGATTAAGATTTCTCTTAGTAGAATGTTTAAATCACGTTTCAGTAATTTAATTCTAATTAAATTCCTTTTTCTTTTCTTTTTTTTTTCTTCTTCTTATCTCTCTCTCTCTCTCTCTCTCTCTCTCTCTCTCTCTCTCTCTCTCTCCGTCTTCTTTTTCCATTACCACGCAAAAGGTGTGGTAATGGAAATACAAAAAAGAAAAAAAAAAAAAGAAAAAAAAATAGAAAAGAAAGAAAAAATAAAAGGCAAATCGATATTTCCAATTTACAAGATTTTTTTAATATGAAATTTCAAATCATCGACTACGTAAAACCGTTTAATTGGAAATCGTATCTATCTAACGTTAGTTAGAAAAAATTTCGTTCGACGTATTTATATTCTCGACAGAAAATCAAATGAATGGGATGGGGGAATGGAGGAGAGAGGAAGGGAGAGGGGGAGGAAAGAGAGGAAGAGCCAGCGAACGAGCGAACGAACGAGAGATGGAGAAAGAGAGAGAGAGAGAGAGAGAGAGAGAGAATGAAAAAAAAAATATAAAAAGAATGGATAGATAAACGAATGCGATATCTGATCGATATCTGAGCTTGTTGGTGCGTCGCAATTTCGTGTGCCATTTCGAGTAGGTTGTACATATCTCATGGATACGGGTACATGATGGAGATCAACGTGATACATTACTGTACGAGTACATGATGTCAGTTCAAACGGAATCTATCGTAAGCGTGAATAAATATGCTTTTCCTGTCGATCAAGGAAAGCTTAGGTCGCACGATTTTACGAACTATTTGCAAGAAGAAAAACAAGAAAAAAAAGAAAAAAAGAAGAAGAGGGAATGAGAAAAAAATCCCTCGACACGGTAAAATGAACGATTAAAAAAAGAAAAAGAAAAAAACAAAAACAAAAAAGAAAAAGAAAAGAGAAAAGGACCATGAATAAGGAGAAAAAGGAGAATATATAAGGACACGAATGCATCCCCCCATTTTCTCATTTTATTTAATTTAATTTTATTTTATTTTATTCTTTATCTTATTTTTTCTTTTTTTTTTTTCTTTTTTTTTCGTAGAGTTATGGTCTAAAAGGAAAGTTTAGCACTTTCGCGGAGCGAAACACTATTTCGTTGCCGTGTTCTGAAGGTAACGATGTAAAAAAAAAAAAAAAAAAAAAAAAAAAAGAAAAAGAAACAGAGAAAAGGGAAAGAATTGGTGATAAAGGAGTCGAGGTAGTTTAAGAAATAAAGGATGTAAGAGATGGGTAAACTAACAAGATATATATATATATATATATATATATATATATATATATATAAAAGAAAGAGTATCTGTAATAAAACTTCAAACGAACAAAATGAATTTCTTTGTCCGTGACAATTTCTACGATTAAGTTGAGTATATCGATGGCACAAATGTGGTATCATTTCTACCATCTAAGTATGATTACACGTACACAGCAGCATAAGGTTGTTTAATAGATTTATTTTTGGTCAAACTATATATCTATGTACATACTTAACTTCTTCATGCCAAAAGTTATCGTCTTAATGTCGTGTAATTAAGATTATTCGTGGTTTAAATTGATTCGTTCGATCACGATGATTACGATGATTATTAACGATGACGATATAATGAATATTTTCCAATAATTGATAATTATTTTATCATGTTGTTATATATATATATATACCCTGCACCTTAATACTCGTTAGACTGTTAGCTAGATTTAATGTATAGTATAATTATCAAGGTATATCAATGTACTAATAATAAAGCAGTAATTCGCGCCGCGTAACGAAGTTTATAATTAAACGCTACGATATACATATATCACTATTCGAGAGGGAGTGCGGGGTGAGGGTGGGGTGGTATAGGAGAGAGATGAGGGGGCAGTGCCAATTTCGATAACGTAATCGAGAATTTAAAACGGCACGGGTTAATGGGAGATAATCCCAATCGTCTATTACCATGCGGTGCCAAAGTTCAAACGAAAAATTTCCACCTGTGAAATTTGAAATCGAACGAATCTCTCTAAAGTTGAAAACGCGTTAAACTCGAAATTCTATCTGGCTATCGAATATACTGAAATGGAAAAGTGTCTACTACGGTTAAACTACTTTTTGTATCTACGTGTACATTTATATCGCGAGAGACGAGTTCATTTTCGATATTGATTATAAATTAATGATTATAGCACACGTAATACGCGTGTTTTATAACTTGTTGTACTATATATTTTTTTCTTTCCTTTCGTTTGTTTCCTTTTTCTAATTTCTAAGGCAAATTAGTTTTTTCTTTTTTCTTTTTTCTTTCTAATTTCTAAATCAAACGTGTTACTTATATTCATACGTTCGTAATCGTTTGCATTGTAGAACGATTTTAATCCTTGAATTGTGCACATCTCAAAATATAATTTTCAATTGTACACTTGGGATGTCCTACAATCTAGACACTTTGAACAGCTGTCATTTATATAGAATGAATAAGTTTCTTTTCAAAAATATTCTATATATTCCTTGAAGCCACGGAAATAATAATCAGTAGTCCTGAAAATACATTTTCAATTTTGACATTATAAAAAATATTCATGAATCATGCAATGCGCAAAAATTAACCTTTTACGTTAAAAACCAAATGTCTTTTTTAATTTTCAATATTTCGAAAAATGAACTAGTGGCATAATAATCATCTTGAGACGAGTCTCTTCCAAAAAAAAAGAAAAAAAAAAAAAAAAGAAAAAAAATGTACTGAAAAATGTACAAAAAATATACTTTACTTCAAATTTACAAACATAACTTATTTTGAGAAGAAAAAGGTAAACGATTGTTTCATCAATCTCCATTATTTTCTGTTGTTTTTTTTTTTCCATTCATTTCATGGAAATATTCATACATACAAATTCCTATCTCTACAAAGTGTTATAAAAGTACAAAATTAAAGTACAATAAAAAGAAAAGTAATTAAATATTTATTCATGATATGATGCATTGAATGCATAAGTCAACGTGGTGATCATTGAAAATTCTACATGAGGAACATTCCAATTATAGTTTTTCTTTCTTTCGAACGTAAACAAATCATACGTCAGCATTATATTTTATATATCGTAACTATATATAAAAATAATTAAATATATTAAAAAATAATTAAAATAATTAAATATATAAAAAATAATTCATTTGCATCCTGTTCAGCATGAAGTTCGATTATTTCGAAGGAACGACATATTGAAATGCATTGAAAAATAATCTTTACAAAGATACTTATAAAATTTGTTCAGATAAGATTGAAGAGGTATCGTAAAATTTCTAATAGCATTTTTTACAATATTTATTTATATTCTGAGATTTATAATAGCCATATCCAACAAATCGAAGAAAATTCTTATTGGTCAATAATTAATTTTTAATTATTAACTGATTGAACTATTAATTGATGAATAAATTACATAATTGATAAAAAGAAAAATCGACTCCCTCTTTACTTTCTTATTATAATACTTTATAATAGCTGATTTTTCATTCTCATTGATTGGATTTGATATTCACTATGATATTCATTATAACATTAGAAATTCATTTCTACTACATATGTATATAGTATCACATTGTTTAGAAAATTAATGGATTAAAAATGGTCAATAATGAAGAAACAAAAATTAATACAATAAACAACTTACTATGCACAAAGGATGTGACACACTCGAAATTTTACGAACTTAAACATTACTCGAGCACAACTTAGCGACTAACATAACGCGAATTATTCTGATAGTTGGCATATAAAGATACATATCTCAATTGCAGATAAATGACGGCAGAGATAAAGTCCAATTTACAAATATTTACTTGTTTACAAATATTTAATTGAGCTCAAAATTGATCTGTAATGTCCAACATCACAGGTGTACAACTAGGGTTAAACTACGTGCGCTCAATGATTACTAAGTTAACTTAGAACAACTCGTTAAAATGGCAACTCACGGATAAAAGAAATGATCCAACGTGATTGGTCGAATGTTTAACTAACAATAAGTTTGACCGTGAACGAGATGGAAAAAAAAATAGAAAAAAGGAAGAAAAAAAGAAATCATTGCTTTACGTACGATATATATATATATGTGTGTGTGTGTGTGTATATGTATATGTATATATATATGTGTGTGTATAAACGTATCATCCTTGATTTTTCTCTGACGATTAATCAAAAGAAATACACGGGATTCCAAGTCACGTTTACTTCCCTAATTTATGAATTCTTAAGTAAATCATGTGTTATGTCCATAGATGTAAAAATATACAAATAGATACGTGAACACGTATACATATACATACGTAGATACTAACGTAATCGCTATCAACGATAATAAGAAACAATCCTTGAACGACATTAACAAAGGAGGGTCAATTGAAAAGTGTACTTTTTATTATTCATGATGTCAGTAGAAAACAAAGATGAATAGAAATTGACATAACCCGATGATACATACGTAACTATTGATACATAGAAATCATTCGAATGAAAAATTATCGACGTCACTGACGTTACGTTCGCAACGATAAGGACACATAATAAAGAATAATAAATAGTAGTAGTAGTAGTAGTAGTAGTAGTAGTAAGAATAGTAATAGTAGAAATAATAATAGTAGTAGTAATAGGAATAGTAGAAGTAGTAATAGGAATAGTAGTAGTAGAAATAGTACATATATGACATTTGCATTCTTACTCATACGTCTTTGGCAAGCGCCAACTTAGAATTAACTTTAGTTGGTTCGCGTTGGCACGGCCAGTGTGTCAAGATCATTCGATCTATCTCGTCTTACCCTTATTACTCCTCCGAAGCGAAGAAAGAAGAAAGAAGAGAAGTAAAAAGGATTCGATTATAGTGAGAGACTATATATCTCTCTCTTTCTCTCTCTCTCTCTCTCTCTCTTACTTTATATCTCTCTCTTTTTTTTTTTTAACTATTACTCGTTGTATTTAAGAACGTGAAGTAACAATATCGAAAGTGTATTCCGTAGAAAACGGGCAATAAAGTGTGACGGTAGATGAATCCGACAAGACTTAAAAGAGGAACGCCCTTCAAGCGGTGTGTGTATGAGAGAGAGACTGAGAGAGAGACAGAGAGAGAGAGAGAGAGAGAGAGGAGGGGGGAGAGAAAGAGAGAGAGAGAGAGAGAGAGAGAGTGCTTCGCGATCGATATTCGCGAGAGGTAGAATGCTAGAGGTAGGATAGAGAGGGACAGAGAGAGAGAGAGAGAGAGAGAGAGAGAGAGAGAGAGAGAGAGAGAGAGAGAGAGAGAGAGAGAGAGAGGAGAGAGCTTTTGGTTTATACTACGATAACGGTAATTCCGCGGTCTACCCACCTTGTCTACATCTACCTCGAAGATTATGGCCAAGGAAATACCTGACCTTCCCCGTTCCACCACCCTCTATCCACACCATCCTCCTCCTCTCCGCTGGTCACGGCACGTACACGATCCGATAAGATCTAGACAAATCATAGCCGCGTGGACATTCGCCTAAGTATGGTTTCCAGATAACGAGATCGATTCTATATATCTTCTATCAATTTGATTTCATTTCGTTATTATTTTCTATTTAATTAGTAACTAAAAGGAAAAAGTGAAAGAATAGATTCGAATTCGAACACCCAAATTGTGTTTTTTTTTCTCAATTTTAATTTACATACACACATATATATATATATATATATATATATATATATATATATATAAATATATGATATATGAGATCGTTATGAATTAATTGTAATGTTATTACGATCGTTTCGTGATTAGTTCAATTATTTAAAAAAGGTCGTCGGAAACTAGGGATTAAAATTCCAACCGAGTATGATTTCACTCGGTTACACGTGATCCAATTAATTTTTAAATAATATCCTACAATCGTAAAAATTTCAAAGAAGCATGATCATCCTTTTCACTCTTCTTTCTTCTTCCTCCTCCTTTTCGATTTCTCTCTCTCTCTCTCTCTCTCTCTCTCTCTCTCTCTCTCTCTCTCTCTCTCTTTGGTTTCCTACGAGACTTCGACACGCGAGCGATAAATTTGCGACACGCGGGGGGTATAACCTGCTAAATGAAAGATTTACAGACCGATTATCTATCCCTACCGTTCTATCTCATGAGAGTAAATCTTCTGCATGATTTATCAAATTACGTTCTACCTTTTCTCTCCCTTCCACTCCTTATCACTATTTCCTCCTTAATTGTCAAATTTTATCATAGACAAATTGATTTTATCGAATATCAATTGATCGTCTGTCTTAAATTTACATAATTATATAGTAGCGAATCCTTTGATTTTAATTTCTTCTTTTTTCCTTCTTCTTCTTCTTCTTCTTCTTCTTCTTCATTATCATCTTCCTCTGATAATTTTTGTAATATTTAAAAACACGAATAGAAACGAATAGAAATAACAATATCACCCGGTAAAATCTCGAATATCGATGAGTTCGAATATTACAAATTGTACGGACGGTCTTTTTATTTCGATTGACTTACAAAAAAAAAAAAAAAAAAAAGAAAAAGAAAGAAAAAAGAAAAAAGAAAAGAAAGAAAAATATACTTCTATTATTTATTTTCTCGCATGCAAAAGAATAAATATAATACAAGTTCGTAATTGCGATAATCGCTTAAAACGTGATAACAATTGATTTCGAACGGAACACGTCGCGTATAGACCGAATAGATGAAATCGAACGAATTGAAAAAAAAAAAAAGAAAACGAAAGAAAAAAAAAAGAAAAAAAAAGAAAACAAACTCCCATTTCAGATTACGTACGAATAAATAATCCTTATATGATATACACCTATTCAGTTGAAAAATAAACGATCGAGAAACGAATGAAAAAAAAAACAAAACGATCAATGTATTGTGAGAAATGGAATATCGATAGATCGTTTCGCGTCGCGGAATGCGGGAGGTGGTATAAAAAGAAAAGAAAAGAAACGATGAAGAAGAAGAAGAAGAAGAGAAAAGAAGGAAGAAGGAAAATAGAAAAGAAAAGTGAGAAAAGAAATGGAAATAACAAAGGAGGTTCGTTTGATCGTAGGAAAAGAATGGAGAGAAGAAGAGGAGGAGATGGCGAAGGAGGTGGTGGAAGAGGAGAAGGAGGAGTGACAGTAGTAACAGCAGCGTTAGCTCTGGCCACGGCCTGTCTGATGGTGCAGGGTGTGGTGGGTGCAGCCACGAGCAATCCTCTACGTGCCTCCCACCTCCTCACCGTCGATCAATACGCCCCCCCTTCACCCCCGTACAACAACCATGGACTGCTCGGGTTTTACGGAAGAAGAAGCAGCAACGACGGAAGCTCCACGGAGGAGAACGTGAACCAACAGCAGCACTATCATCAATATCAACAGCAACAGGAACAGCAGATTAATCGGAAGTTCCAAGATGATTCTCACATCTATCGATCGATCGACGATCGTCATAACCGACGTGACTCACTCATTTCATTCTCGGCCAATGGTAAGTGCCAATTAATCCAGTATATATATGTCTCCGATCTTCGAGCTCTCTTTTTCTATATATATACATATATACATATATATATATATTTATATACATTATATATATATATATATCTATATCTATTTCTATTTCTATCTCTCTCTCTCTCTCTTCCGTTACGTCATCAGTGATTTAATTCTGTCGCTTCGATTAATCCCGAGCCGCGAAATGCTATCAAATTTATTCGTTCGATTCTACCTGAAACGAAGTAAAACGTCATTTCCATTTGCGCCCTTCTTTGCGACCGTTTTCACCGTTCCTTCATCAAATCTTATCGTTTCACAATTTAGGAATATTATCACTGACGATAATCAAACGGGTTATATTAATTATCGCTTGTATTATAGAATCTATAATAGAACATCGCGTAAAGTTTCTTGAAAGGGAAAGATCAAAGACTCGAGGGAGAGAGAGAGAGAGGGGGGGAGGTAAAATAGTCCGGCAGAGAGAGAGAGAGAGAGAGAGAGAGAGAGAAGGGAATGTATACGAATGGGTAAGGCTAATTATGTAAAAATCCTTTCAGATTTGTCGATAGGAAAGGTTTACGACAATGATAACGTAGGAACGATCTCGAGAGACTCGGCCGGTACGATCGTTACTCAGAATGACAAGGAAAGATCGAAGCATTTATCCGGTAAGAATGAATACGATGGGAAAAAGCCCGGTGGCGATGATTACGTTGCTCCACCAACCGAAATGGACGAGCCTTTCGTGGCTGACGAAACGTTTCAGGACGAGGGTCCTGGATCGGTAGAGATATACAAATTGGATTTGTTTGAGGGTAGGAAATCCTTACCAAGTCCAATGTCTAACGTAAAGGGAGTAATAATGACGGGGTTGACGGGATTAACGTTACCAACCCCGACATCTATCGCTACATCGGCTACGATGAGAATAGGTAATAACAAGAGCAAAATGCCAAAGAAAAGTTCAGGGCTAAGTTGGAAGGTTGGAAAATCGTCAAACGGGTTGTTAAAGTCAACGACGATAACCATGGTTAGTACCGGTAATGATAATGATAACGATGGCGGTGCTACTGGCAGTGGCACCAATAATGATACCAAGGACCTTCACGGTAGATCGAATTTCTTGGATTCAGAATTAAGGTCGGAAGTACCGAGTAACGTTGAAGCTTTTGGAGTTGGGGGTGTGCCCGAGTTACAAGTTGGTTGCGAGGGTCTCGAAGCTCCTTCCTCTTCCTCCTCCTCCGCCTCTTCTTCCTCGGCCACTTCCTTTTCCTATTTCTCACCCTCTTCTCGCAAACTGAAGAGATCCGTTGAGAAGACCGAGAAAACCGGGGAACCAAATGGTAAGGCAGAGCAACCTACGGCACCGTTCAATGTCGTACCGATATCACTTGATCTCGACTACGATATATCCGCCGAGAGTTACGAGGAAATGGACGAGCTCTTCAAGTTAAAAAAGTTAGAGTCCGAGCCTAAGAGAAATAAAGAGAATCGTGGCGACATAGACGCTATGGTAAATGATTTTTTGATTCAGGATAGAAACGTCAAGGAGAGATTACCTGTTAGAGGTGATCTCGGTAATTCGAGCTTATCGAGCGTTGTCGAATCGATTAAAAACGTTAACGATTTGAAAGGTAGTAGAAGGAAAAGGAGTAGTAGCAGTAGTAGTAGTAGTAGTAGTAGTAGTAATAGTTCATCGTTATCCGATACGAATACGAGCGGATACGTTTCACGTTTCAATGGTCGTTCTCGAAAGTTGTTATGGGTCGACAGTGAGAGTGACTCCGGTTTATGGGGTTACGGTGAGAACGAAGGTCTAATATCTAGTGACGAATTGGATACCGAACAAAGAAGACGACAACAACAACAACAACGACAACAACAGGATAAGAACATAGTCAACGTTGAAATCGATAAGATTCGAGAGGAATACGATAGATTGTTGAAACAGCAAAGAATAGTGGAAGAGGAAAGATTGCGAAGGGTCAAGGAACTCGAGTCAAGAAGATCACCGACGTCGAACTCCGTTAGAGATGAGGAAGATAGAAGGAAGAAATTTTACGAGGATAGAACGAGAATGGAGGAATTGCGTAGACGCGAGGAAGCGCGAAGAAGGGAGGAGGAATATAGAAGGAGAAATTTGATAACGGAGGACAGAAGGGATTTGGAGAACAGACGAAGAGAATGGATGGCCAAGAGAAGAAAGGAGGAAGAGGAGATGGAACGAAGGATGAAATTGTTGGACGAAGAGAGAAGGAGACGGGAAGAATTGGAGGAACGGAGAAGAATGAAAGATCTGCCGATAGCGAATTTACAATTGGCTCGTTATAATTTTAATAAAAACGAAAGTAGAGAGAACGAGGAAGAGGAGAGAAGGAAGTTGGAAAGAGAATACATGGAAAGAAATCGTCTTTTAGAGAGACAAAGAATGGAGGATGAAAGAAGAAGGCAGATGTTAGAGGAGGAAAGAAGGAGAAGGGAGGAGGAAAGAAGAAGAGAAGCTATGACGGAGGAGAGAAGGATTGAGGAAGAAAGAAAGAGAATGGAAGAGGAAAGAAGGAGGGGGACATTGGAGGACGAAAGAAGGAAAATTGAGGAGGAAAGAAGGAGGCAAGAATTTGAGAAAGAGAGATGGAGAATGGAGAATGAAAAGAGAAAGCAAATGTCGGAAGAAGAGAATAGAAGAAGAATGGAAATGGAGAGATCGAGAAGGTATAGGAATAACGTGACGCGTGACAGAAACGACGACGAGGAATATCGAAGAAAAAGAATAATGGAGGAACGTCAAAGGAGACTAGACGAGGAGAGAAAGTTGCAGGAATACGTGAGAAGAAATCAACCGGTCGAACTTAGGAAGGATGAACGAAGAAACGAACATTGGAACGTTTCACAAAGATGGAGGGAAAGGGAGGAGGAGAAGAGGAAGAAGGAGGAGGAAGAGAAGAGGAGGCAGATGGAAAGGGCGATGGAGGCTGTCAGGCAAATGAATCGATCCAATAGATATCCACCGGGTTCGGGATATGAGAGGAGAGAGCACGGTCCCTCTGCTCCGACTTACATCGATCCTAGAGTCTCGCTGGACGAGGCTAGAAGGAGACAGGAGATTGAAGCATTGGAACGACGACGTAAGGAGGAAGAGGAGCAAAAACGACGAATATTAGAGGAGGAACGTAGGAGAGAGATCGAGTATAAGAGGGAACAGTCGAGAAGATATGAAGAGGAAAGAAAGAAGATGGAAACGTTTAGACTCGAGGAAGATAGAAGGACACAGGAAATGATTGAGAATCAGAGAAGAAGAGGTATGACATCTGTGAGAAGAGTAGGGCCTACGGCTACCGTAAGTTCTGTTCTTCCGGTTTTGGGGAATTTAATGGAGAATCGAAGAACAACTGAGATACGTCAAAGGGAACGACTGAGAGAACAACAAAGAGAACAACAAAGGATCAGGGAGGAAGAAGAGAAAAAGAGACGGGCGATTATAGCACGACAAAACGCACGACGTCAGCATGAGAATAGGTGAGAGAATCTGATAAATCATTTATAATATTATATCTTTATCATTTATTTTTCAAATTATTACGTATTTTTAATAATGATCGAATATGTTATATAATATAAAGATTTTCGTTTTACCAATAGTGCCAAAGCCCAATGGGAAAGGGAAGATAACAGGAGAATTATGAATGAACAATATAGGCGGCATGAGGAAGCCAGATTGAACGCGTTACCGGTTAGCGCTAGGATAATAGTTCAACCCAAAGGATCCTTGCCTCATTCAAGGCCGACGTTCACGTCGAGGGCAGGCTTTGAAAACGAGATCAATTTCCCGGTGAGCCATCCATTTGTCCGTCAAATTGTTTCACGCTCTTGTCTTGTGTGTAATCGTTGATACAACTATAGACAATTAAATATAGTTCGTGACAATGGATGTACTGATTTCAAACTTTACGTGAACACTTACGTTCACGTCAATATATCTATCAATGGAAACGTTTGCCAAGATTTATAGATCGATCTATGAACGATATGGAAATTCAACAATTTTTCTACTTCTTAGATAGTTACATTGATAATATGACATGAAACGGAACGATCGATAGTTCGTATTATATTGCATTAACAGAAAGAAATTTGTTGTTACGATGTAAAAAAGAGGAAAAGAAGAAAAGAAAAGAAAAAGGAAAAAAAAAAAAAGAAAAAAACAAATATCCTTCGATATAAATAGTCTAATTTATTTTATAACTTCGAAAATGTCTAACGACATTTATCTATTGATGTTAAAAAAATTTCATAATTTTTTTTCCATTTATAGAACGTAAATCGACGCAACAACGGAGTACAAACGACGATATTTCCACCATACGTTCGAAGTCCTAATCCTTGCGTTTGGGCCGTCGTTCATTGCTGTCCAACTAACACGAATCGTCTCGTCACGTGTTTCGAATCGCTCGGTTGTCCCGGAGTGAATTGGGATCCAAATCCCTGCAGAGGAGCCATCGCGGATGCAGCGAGAGAAGAGGTCATGAGATTTTACAATTCACAGGAAGAGGACGACCGTAATTGAGTGACCCCAGCCAGGCATCACCTACCTACCCACCTACCTACCTACCTACCTACCTACTTACCTACCTACCTATCTACCTATCTATCTACCTAATCTACCTAACTACCTATCTACCTAACCCCCTCGAATTTTCGAAATCAACCGCGTATGAAAGTGACTTTTCTTTCTCTGTCACTCTTTTTTTTCTTTTTATTATTCTCTTGTTTTCCTTTCTTCTTTTTTTTTTTTATTTTCTATCGATCTTCATATCTTCCCTTTTTTTCTTTTATTGTTTCTTATTTTTTCCTTCTTTTTTTTTTCTTTCTTTCTTTATTTTCTTCCCCCATTGTCAATCTCTCGTTTGCGCAACGCGCGCGCGCACGCGCGCCCGTAAGAGTGGAAAAAATGAAAAAGAGATTTTTTTAAATGACAAAAAAAGAAAAAGGAAAAAACATTCAGGAAGATATCCTCGCATTATAGAATGGAAATTAATTGCAAACGTATGAACGATCGACCATTAGTATTGAATAGCGGTAAAATTTTTCATATACTGCCGCGCTTGGAGATGACTAACACTAAGTATACGTATAGTCTAATATATTTTAATATATACCATATATATATATATATATATAAAAATATTCTATATAAATATATATATATATAAAAAAAAGAAAAAAATATATGTACAAAGACGATGTATTATTCTGAATGCTGAACGTTCTTCTAAGGACTAAAACTTTAAAAATGAAAATCTTTTTTTTTCTTTTCTTTTTTTGTATGTAGACGATAATATATCTCTGCAGCTTCTTAATATGTGATATAGATAGTGCGATTCGATTTAATGTAATATATTACGAATATTTATGTGTGTGTATATATATATATATATATATATATATATACATATACATATATATATATACATATATATATACATATATGTATGTGTGTGTAACATATGGAATAAATCGATTTCTCAATTCGTCCGAAGATTATCAAATTCTTAAAACGTCAGAGAGTTTTTTCACGATCATAGAAAAAAAAAAAAAAAGAAAAAAAAAAAGAAAAAAGAAAAAAGAGAGAAAAAAGAAAGAAGAAGTGAATACCGTCTTTTTCAAAGACAATTCTTCGATCTCCGTCGAATCCTTCGAATCATCTTCTTCGATTTATCGAATACTGGAGATACCACTTTGGTAAAACTATCGGAAAGAAAATTGCACGGTTTCCGAGTGCGAACGAATTCGAAACTTAATGTTAAGAAAGTTAAGAGTTTCTTTTTATATATTTTTTTTTTCTTTTTTTTTCTTTTTCTTTTTTCTTCCGAAGATTCGCGCAAGAGTCAAGAACCGAGAGAGAGAGAGAGAGAGAGAGAGAGAGGGAGTGAGAAAAGGTGGAGAAAAAAAAGGTAAAATGGTTGACGCGAGAAGCGAGAGAAAAAAGTAAAAAGTAAAAAAAAAGAATTAGTAGAGAAAAAAAAGAATAAATGAAAAAAAATAAAAAACTAAATAAAAAGATAGAAAATGAAATGAGATATATAGATAGATAGACAGATAGAGAGCGAGAGAGAGAGAGAGAGAGAGAGAGAGAGAGAAAGAGACAGTCGACGACGTAGGATTAAATCAAACGAAAGTTTCAAATCTCGTTTTACTTTGTATTTATCTCCTCGTCTCTCGTTTTTCGTCGTTCATTTCTTTCTCTCTCACTCTCTCTCGCTCTCTCTTTCTTCTCAATATCATCGTCCTCGTCCACGTCGTCCTTGTCGTCGTCGTCGTCGTTGTCGTCGTCGTCGTCAACGTCAACGTCGTCGTCGTCGTCGTCGTCGTCGTCGTCGTCGTCGTCGTCGTTGTCGATAACGAGGCCATTCAACGTTTAAGAGCTTGCAAACGTTTCCCGTCCCAATCAGCCACATTGTACATACATTCGAAAATGCATCCTTCCAACGGACAATCACGTACCATGTCGTGGCCTGCCGAAAGCAAATAGGATTTCTCTCTCTCTCTCTCTTATTTTCTCTCTCTTTCTCTTTCTCTTTCTCTCTATTGACATACGTAATAATTTTGCGTAATCATCGAAATAATTTTTGCGGGAACTTTGGATCATGATATTATTTCCGATTATATAGAAAAATAGTTGAAATTTATCTATGAAAAAAATTAGTATCTCTAAATAATTATCTTGCGATATTGTGCACGAATTAGCTGATCAGTTCCTTTCGCGAAAAAATTCTAATCGATCGATAATGTTCGATTATTTTTAAACAATGAAGAGAAATATATATATATATATATATATATATATATATATATATTTAAAATATTAAATTAAATAACTTTAATAACATGCTGTTACGTCTGCGATAATTATAGATAAAAGAAAAAAATATCTTTTAATCGTCTCCATTTTTTATGTCGCGTTATATAACAAAAATCGTTGACATTTATCTATCAAGAAAACATGTATCTCGTAATTATATTGTGATATCGTTCGCGAATCAGTTGATTTGTGTTTTAAGCAAATTTTAATCATTCAATATTTTTTTTTCACGTCCTTGAGCAATGAAGAGAATATAATCTATAAATATTTATATATTTAAAATTAATGCTAACACGACGCTGATCAAAAAGTTTATTCAATGACAATTTTTGTCATTGAATAATACATGTTGCGTCGTAAACTTACGACAGATAAAAAAGATATTTCACAATACTTTCGATTTCTTATGACACACGTTCAAGAGATACAAAAAAAGAAAAAAAAAAAAAAAAAGAGAAAAGAAAAAAAGAAAAAATAAAAAAGTAAAGTAATAAATATTAAAGAAACGTTTATAATGAGAGAAAAAGAAAAATAAAACGAAAAAAAAGAAGAAAAAAGAGAAAAGAAAAACAAGTCTATGCGTTTGAACTTGTCTGTAACCTGGCCGTGAATCATGCTAATCCATGGTAATATATCTAATAAATGAACACATATATATATGTATATATATATATATACTTATGTGTGTGTATGTGTGTGTGTGTATGTGTATGTCAAGGATAGCAATAAAAGCGTTCTCATTCGTATATTACGTATTGCAGATAGGCAAATCGCGTGTTCATGCGATGCATAAAGAAGAAAAAAAAGAAAAAAAGGCGATCGATGAATCCAATTTTGTACAAAAAAAAAAAAAAAAAAGAAAAAAAAGAAAAAAAAGAGAAAAAAAAGAAGAACAAAAGAAAAAAAAAGAAAGGAAACAGAACTAAAACATTGGACGTTTAGCTTAAAATCAGACATGATCTTGATTACAAACGTTAGAAATGTCTTTGGAGATGTATCGAAGGGTACATATGTATATATGTATGTATGTATGTATGTATGTATGTACATACGTACGAAATCCAATAATGCATCGGTTCCCCAAAAGGAGAAATGGAGAAACTATATGGAAAATAGAACTCTAGTGTGTGTATCTTTGTCTATGGTTGAATCTAAGTGAAAGAGAGAGAGGGAGAGAGGGAGAGAGAGGGAGAGAAATGTTTTCACGACAGGTGCAACAACGCTACTCGAAGAATCTTGAAAGCTATTGTCTCATCTCTTCGATACTTCCTTCGACATACGCTTCCTTCCATCTTCTTAGTCTCTCTCTCTCTCTCTCTCTCTCTCTCTCTCTTTCTCTCTTTCTCATATTTGACGTACGATGATATAAGAACACGTCTATATATAAATCTTTACAGCATCCAAAGAGTCCTCTCAGTCTATCTATCTGTCTATCTAACTGTCTCTCTGTCTGTCTGTCTGTCTGTCTCTCTCTCTCTCTCTCTCTCTCTTTCCTTTTGTTAAATGCATCCTATTGTACTCTTAAGAGACGTATCTTAATGTTAAGGGCAAAACATTGTTCCTAAGATTACAGGAAAATGATAGTCACATTTTGTGGCTTAGTTTCATTTCAACTAACCCCAGCCAGTCACCCTCTTCGTCACTGTATGATAAATAATGACGTATATTTGTCATCTGTCTTATG